CCCCGCCCAGGCAGCCGATGGCTGGACGGTCTCCTGGGCCCCTGCCCTCCCTCGGCCAGCACGACAGAGATCCCTGCCCAGCAGCCTGGGGGTAGACGCCCCTCCAAACTTTCCATCATCCTCGGGGGTGAGGGGCAGTTTCCGGAGTCAGGTCTGCTGTTCTCACACGGGTAAGGATGAGGCTTTGGGAAGATCCTTGTCCAGCTGGAGAGGAGACTCCCGGGAGTCTGAGGGGCCCTTTGCAAGGGTTGGAACCTGCTTTGGAGCAGGACGCAGACCTGTGAGCTGATGTGCAGAACAGACCCCAGGAGGACCCCTGCCACCCCACCCTCACCCGAGTCCTCGTTTCTTCTCTCGGGGGACCTGGGAGGGAGAGAGAAACAGAGGAAAAGCACGTTCAGGGGGCGAAGTGACCCCAGGTTTTCACTGTGAAACTGCCTTTGACGGGCCCCACCCCGGCTGACCTCCTCCCAGCCCTGCTCATCCTGAGGCCTCGGCCGGGACCTCGCACGGAGGGCAGCCTCCTGGGGGGCAGAGGCGCACGTGCTCTTGGCAACCTCACTCTGCCTGCCTCCCGGGGATGCGTCCCGCGGTTGCCTTGTCTTCCCGACTTTGCCACGAGCCTCGAGCTGAGCGTCGCTGCTCCGGCTCCAGTGCCGTCTCCCGAGGACCGGGGGTCCCGCCTGCCGGCTTCAGGCTTTGGGGGAGCGTCAGCTCATGTGTGACGCAGACAGTGACACCGATGCTGCGGCCTGGACAGCCCGCTTCATCCCCAGGGACCGCCGTCCCGGTGCCCGTCGGCCTCTTGACTGGTTGCCTCTCCCTCCTGGGCCGCGGTTTTCCCCAGACCAGGAGGAGTCGTCCTCGGAACACACAGGTTCACGGGCCGTCCTGGCGGTTCTGCGTGGGCTCTGGGAGTCTGCGTTTTCAGTCAGCTCTGCAGGTACCCGAGGCAGGAGACACCTTTGGTCACCTGGTCCTCTGGCGAGTCTCAGCCCTCCTCTCGGGGCTGCGTCGAGGGCATGTGCTGCTGGCCCGGCCACGTGAGGGACAGCGTCTGCCTACACTGGGTGGGTGTGTCACTCTGGTGTAATTTAGAGCCTGGCCCGCCCTGCCCGGCGTTCATGCTGCGATAGTCCTTGTTGTGAGGGCTCCTTATTGCAGGCTGCTAGCCAGAGCCCGGCTCTCCCCCTTCACCCACCAACACGCACACACATGCACGTGTGCACACGGTGACCACACGCACACTCACACATGCACACACGTACAGACAAGCACAGACACACACCTGCACAGACACGTGCGCACAACCCACCCACACGTGAGCACACGCGTGTACTGCAGCACGTGGGTGCACACAGTGGTGTGCACATGGAAGCCAACACACACACGGGCACACAGCCATGTGCACACAGATGCACACGCTCATGCACACTCACGTACGTGTGCCCACACTGTCATGTCCAGCGTGCCTGACTGCTAAGCTGAGCTTCCTCTGTTTCTTCAGTTGGTGTCACCTGCCCCCACCTCGTTTTTCCTCTGGACCTTGCAGGCGCCCCACCTGGTCACGAAAGGCTCAGGAGTGGACGCTCTGTGTGGGCCTGGCCAGGAGCCCCTGCTGGGGTCCTGACCTCGGTCAGTGGCCAGGCGGGGCTGGCTCCTGGGGTGGGGGACTCTCAGCACCCCACGTCCCCTGCCTCAAGCCTCAGCTCCTCGTCCTCACGGCCGCTTCTCAGTCCCGCGACAGACGGCAGCTCGCACTGCTGCTGGGACGCCTTCCTCTGGAAGAAGGAAGGGAAAGTGGCGTTAATTGCACAATATTCTTCTTCAACATAAATATATCCATCAAGGGACAGAACACGTTCACTTTATTTACCGTCCTTGGCTCCTGCAGACAGCGTCGTTTCATGAGTGGACACATTGTTCTCTCACGTATTAAATTAAAAAAATACATTTCACTTCTTCTGACAAGCCATTAAAATCCAGCATTTAAATGTCGCCCATCGGCACATAATTTGCTGTCATAAACACAACTATGGGTCCATTTTCTGGGAGAGCTCTCCTGACGCCCTGAGTTGTGTGTCAGAAGCAAAAAGCAAAACAGCAGAATTAAAAGTCTAACACAGTGTAGTGATGCCTTAAAAGAATGAAAAGAAACCCCCTAAGGATAAGGAAG